GGAATTGGCTTTGTTGGTGCTGGCAACCGACCAATGCTATCAACTTTATCCTTTTGCTTTGGAGGAGGTCTAGCTGCTTTAGGCAACAATCTTCCTTTCTTTTCAAACCACTCAGGCTTCAGCAGTGCCCTCAAGCCCAACTTATTGTAATAAACCCTTCTCACAGACCCACCAGCTGCTTCAACTGCTTCCTTAGCCCTAACAGTAACCCTTGATACCTGTAAAATCGCTGTGTTAAATTACACTATGGTATTTAAATTTTAACATTTCCAATTATAGCATAAATCTCAAACTACAACATTTTGTTTGTTTATAGGAACGTAAAAGAAAAAATACAAGGTAAAAGAAAATTAGCGCATAAACTTTGGACATATAATATAATACAAACTTTATCTGTAACAAATGTCAAGTTAGACACCCTATGATAGACACCCCATTGTACCATTTCAATTACCAAGGTAAAAAATCTTGCTGCGCCTGGGTAGTTTATGTTGCTAATGAAGAAAGAATTTCAAGCCACCATATAACTAATCATAAAATATTTAAAAGAAAGAATGATGATTAATTATGACCATGGTGAAATTTAAGAAATTAGATAAAGATAAGTTTAAAAACTGATGAAAAGATATATTTCCAAAGTTAAAACTTAAGAATCAAAAAGCGTGATTATGATCCTCAAAACACGTCTAGCCTTCATATAAAGTCTACCTCTAGATGAATTGGCCATTTGATCTGCTCTAAACCACGCCCCATCAATCTTACTCCATCTTTCGATTGCTTCCCAAGTACCCCTGCATCCTATGGTAATAATAATGACCACAAGAATGAGAAAGCACATGAAGCAAAAACAATTCCAGAAGAACTGAAAAGGTGAGGTAGCCGGTATAAAACCTTGAGTGTTTTCATTGTAATCAGTTCGGAAGAATCTATTTTCCCAGCATTAATAAACTTTGCAATTCTACCCAAACCTATTGGCTGCAGACAAAAAGAGGCATAAAAAATTTAACAATGTCGACATATAAATGGCTTATAGATTATGGGTTTCTGAGATTAAAATAAGAACAACCAAATCAAAATCAACAGAAATTTGAATAAAACTGAGCTACTCAATTGTCATAAATCCAAAGTCAACTCCAACAATCAAGGTATAGAATACCTTACTACATCAACATCAATATTCAAGTATAAACATTTAAGATATAGGGAAAATCTCTTCAATACAATAAAGATATAAACTTTAAACATTTGCTGTCAATGATCACAATACTTTCAGTGAAATCGGACATATATATTCATAGGAAGTTTCAGAATCTTGAAAATAAAATTAGGATCAGAGATATAGCATTAAACATATCAATTTAGCTTCAGTGTCAGGCAATGTTTCCCACTTAATAATTCATTTTTTAAAGTGGGAGAAAATACAAAGAGAGAAAGCAATAATGATAACAACATATTGTGTTTGGAATGGGGAGGGATAGAGATGAAACGAGAGCAACCTTTACAGGTCTATTATAGAAGGACAAAAGGGGCTAATTTGTAATTAGCTGTAACCAGGTAGTTACTTATGTGGTTTTGGAGTAAGAACCTAATAAATAGGTCCTCATTTGTAATTGAGATTTTTAGCTTTTGTTTTCTAACACTGGTGAATCTGGTTTTTACAAAGTGAAAAGGAGAATGCTCCTTTTGGAGGTAATATGGTTTACCCTGATGCTTTGACTTCTATGAAGAAAAAATATTCCTTTTAGTCACACTATTTTGTAACGGAGGAAGCAATATTGTATTAGGCCTTCTGTTTTTGGATCCCAATAGATTGATCCTACACACAAACTCACACGGAGGTTTAGTTAATCTTTCAATAACATAACTGCCTCAGAGATCTTAGATCATCCTTGCGATTGCGATAATTGAAAATTGCATCCAAATGTTGTGGATAGTGCTCTGAAAGACAACTGCTATATATCCCACGTCCATTGGTAGCTCCAACTACTTGAGATGTAATCTACTTTGAAAGACCCCTATAGCACTATTGCACAGCAGAATTTCTCAAATCCAAGATTGCAACTCTGTCCCTGTTGCAACTACTGTTGTTGTTGTAGTTGTGGCATGAGTCCTGCATCTTCTTGTCATCTTTGACAAGTCGTCGGCCTATTGAACTTTTGAATAAATAGCATGCTAATTTTATGTTTTATTTTTACTTTTGCGCATAACATAATTTTTTAACATATATATTTGATAAAAATCATATATTCTAACTGTGATGTGACTTCTGCTATAAGCTCGCAAAGTTATCCACTACATGATATGACAGGCTATTGGCTTTCTGCCATTTTTCACAATTTGTACCAAATAACATTAAACACCATAACAAAAAGATTGGCAACAGACACAAACTGCCTTTTTCTCATTTTTCTCCATTATTCATACAGTATTAAAGTTCTAGTTTAGTGGGAAAGAATGCATTTTTAGAAACAAAAACAACCATGACCAAGTGCATTTGGTCCAAGAATCAATTTTACCGAGTTCAATTATTTTTGTTTTCCATATGTTCTGCATTATACAAAAGTAAAAACGATAAATATAAAGACGAAAAGATACCTGAAAAGTGAGGCTAAATGGGTTCTTGAACCCACGTTTGGGTACTCTTCTTCGAAGAGGGGTCTGGCCTCCTTCAAAACCCAATTTTATACCTTTTCTAGCTCTCTGACCCTTGTGACCCCTCCCAGCAGTCTTACCCTTTCCAGACCCAATCCCACGCCCCTTCCTTGTTGGCTGCTTCCTGGGAACCTTATCTCTCAAATCATTCAAGCTCAGAAGACTGTACGCTCTAAAGCCTTGAAAATCTGGGAATTTATAACAACTAATTCTTCGATGAGCATTGGGAGAATGAGGGAGCTGAAAGGGTTGAAATTGGATAGATGGGCATCTGAGTATGGGTTTGCTATGAGTTGAGCTTCTGATGATTGACGTTGAGAGAACAGATAACCTTCGTCTAATCATTTTTTTCTACTCTATTCTTTCACTAACACAAAACAAGTGTTAATTTCCAATGGCAACAGCTTCAAACCTTAGGAGAACCACAACAGAACAATGTCAGAAATCACACTTGGAGAATAAAGCCAAATCCCATGAAATGAAACCCAAGCTACCAGTGAAACGAAAGTTCATGCTACATACCAAATTTAAATGCCAAAACATGAAACCGGCCTTATATTACAACCAAAAGTCAAATTAATAGCCTTTACACATAAAACAAAACTGAAAACTAAGAGAATGCACCCACAAAATCACACAAACCAGAAAACAGGATGGAAAAAGGGACAGCTGTTAGCAAAAGGGGCCTAGCTTTGCAACTTAGCAATAGGGCCGATACTGATACAGGGCCCAGTAGCACCACACTGACTAAAAGGGAGAGTAAGAAACCACAATATCTTTTGGATTATCAGCTTTGAGGAAGGCATTTGACAGAATCATATTATAAAGATATCTTTGTGAGGTATCACTTGATCATAGGTTATGTTAAGGAAATATTCCTTTGTTAGTTTCTATTTCCTCCAAATGCGGTCAGTCAATGATCAGCAAACAATACATGTATTTAATTCAGCAGAATGAATGAAAAAGGGAGCTGGAAAAATTATTTCTCTCCCCTTATCTCTATAATTTCAAGGAGGTTGCCTTGACTTCGAATCAAAGTAGTTGTTTTCCTTATCAACAGCTCACAAACTTAGGCAAAAAACCAAATACCACATAAGCACTGATCATAGCTAAACATTTTCACAATGAAGGACGTAAGCGAACATAAACCCAATAGTTCAAGAATTCAATTCACTCAAGGGCCAAACCTAATGCTTGAAACAAATTCAAGACAAAAACTTTAAAACCAATGAATATATTCTTCAACCTCAGCTGCACCAACTCCATAATGAATTAAAAAATACGATTCACATAAATTCTCAAACACAAAAAACGAAAAGAAAATGTAAAACAAAATCATAGTATTTAATAATTTATACTTCACAATTATACATTATAAAAAAAACAT